AACTGAGTCTCTTTACTCGGCAAATTTCACGCTAAATTTTTCAAGTTTGTTACATGATTTAAAAGAATCAAGTCCACCAAGTCCGGATAGAAATGCCATGGATTTGAAGTTGAAATTTGGAATGTAACAATGGAATAAAAATCAAAATACCGATTAAAATACCGAATATTCTCCGCGGTACTCACTCGATTCAACACGACGATGTGATCCGCGCGTTTGAGAAATTGCAACTGATGGGTGACGAGTATCCTTGTCTTGCCGTGGAGATACTCGGTGATGCACTTCCTGTAGAGGTGCCTGGCGACACGAGAGTCCACCGCGCTTAAGGGATCGTCGAACAGATAGAGATCCGCCTGCCTATAAACCGCCCTCGCAAGATTGACTCGCGCTCTTTGGCCTCCGGACAGAGTTATACCTCTTTCGCCGATCATCGTCATGTCTCCTTGTGGAAACTGCCGGAAATCCTTTGTCAAGGCGCACACATTTGCCACCTAAAACGTTTGCCAGTCGATCACAGAAAGTGAGAAATATACTGTAAAATGCTAAAAAGCTTGAAATGAAATATTAGACATTATTTCTCTTTTATATAGATAGAATCATACACATTAAAGATTCGGCAAAATTTATAGTACTCGCTGAGACATATTTTCTTTAATTGATAACAAATCAATGGTGATTCACGTCTAATTAATTGTTCAAACAAAAGATTGAAGGATATGAAAATAATGTAAAGTTACAAAAAAGTTATCAATATTAACGTACAACAGGGATACATGAACATTATACAATATATGCGGTAACTGTCTGGAAAATTACTTGAATATATCTGGCCTTGTCGTAGGGTTGACCAAAGAGTATGTTGTCTCTCACAGTACCGCTGAAGAGCCAGGGTTCCTGGCTGGTGTAGGAGATGCGCAGAAAACTGTTCTTCGAAGAGCCCTGGGTGAGAAGCACTGAACCCGCGCCGGGATCCAACTCCTTCAGCAGCAGATGTAACAGAGACGATTTGCCGGAGCCCACGGCGCCAACCACGGCGCATAACTGGCCCGGATTGATGGTCAAGTTGATATTGCACAAAGTCGGCGGCAATTGGCCGTTTATCCAATTGGCGGAAACTTGCTGAAGCTTCACGCAGACCGGAAGGTCAGAAGTTTCCTGAAGTTCCGAAAGCGCGATAGTCCCATTTTTTGAGATGGACCTGTCTGTGTGATTCTCTACATTAGTCGCTTCGTTTGATTTCTGAGATTTATCCTGTAACTGCGGCGTCTTCTCTAAACGTTTCATGTTCACTTCGTCCATCAGCAGAAAGTCCTGTACAAATTAAGCGCATTTTAATAATTGCGTAAGTATGTACCGGTCAAACTATAGGATATATTGTAAAACAATTGATTTAATAGTTTATCGCGAATTTGGAAATATATAATGTGACAATATGCACCTCCAATCGATTTGTAGACACTATTGAGTCGCCCAGCTTTATTAGCGCCAGCGGAATGCACACCCCGATGGTAATATGAAGAATACTAAAGTACGTGAATGTTACGAAGGTAACATCGGCAGTCAAGTCATTTCCACTTAGGACGAACATTATCAAAGTGGAGTAATGGGCCAGTCGATCGATGAAGATTGGTATGACCAAATATGCGTCAAGCACGTACGACGAGAATTTGATTTCTTTGATTTCCAGCTCTCTGGTCATCGACACGATCTTGCTGAATGGTTTCTCCCAAACGTACATCTTTACCACCTGAAACGAGAATTATGATCCTGCAAGTTTGTTTCACAAAATTGTTTTTTTAGCATTGCAGGCAATCTCATTTAGCACTTGAATTTGACACTTGAACGTTAGCGTCTTCACATATCTTCGGTTGTTTAACAATAAAGTAACTTATCAAATATCCGGCAATACCTGTATCCCGGCTACGAGTTCACTCATCAGCTGCAATCTTCGGTCGGTCAGTGTCGCGATCATAGCTCTGATTTTGGGGATCAACAAGTTGAAGGTCCCTTGTGCCACTAGGGTGATGATCAACAGCGTTCCGATGCCGGCAAAAACCGAAATACCAATCTTTTGCCACATAATAGTTCCTATGATCATGATCTATAAGAGAAACGGTCAATCTTAACAGATGTTTATAAAAAGTAATGTGAACATAAGAAAAAAAGAAGATATTCTATATTTTTACAGCTAATTAGTGGAACAATAAATTGCATATAAATAGATATAGATGTATAACTAATTGCTATATGAATTAGATTATAATTATTAAACATACTTATCAATTTAAGAAAGAGATTAAATATAATTTGAACTATTTATTTAAAGGAAGGGATAAGCGTTGTTGATGTTAATTATATTAGAACTAGCTGGTTACCCGGGCTTCGCCTCGGAGGACATGTATATTAAAACACGCAAATAGTCTCTCTCTCTCTCTTTCTCTCTCTTCCTCTCTCTTTCTCTCTCTCCCTCTCTTTTTCTCTCTCTCTCCCCCCCTTTCTCTCTCTCTCTCTTTCTTTCTTTCTCTCTCTCTCTTCCTCTCCCTTTCCCTTTATCTCTCCCTCCCTCCCTCTTTTCCTTTCCCTCTTTTTCTCTCTTTCCCTATCCTTCTTCCTCTCCCTCCCCCCTCTCTCTCTCTCTCTCTCTCTCTTTCTCTCTCTTTAAAATGCTATAAATTGAAAAATATTACTTTTTTATCCACTAAAGTTCAATTCCGTCGTATACAATTCTTTAAGATTCACTCAATTATTTTTTTAAAAATTGGAAAAATTTTGTAACCGATTTCCAAAAAGATATCGATTCCCAAAAAGATCGGTAACAAAAAACTATACAGCTTATAGCACTCCCCGGGAAATTCTACCCCTGTTTTATATACAATTCTTTAAAATTCAATCAATTATTTCCTCAAAAATTTGTCAAACTTCTGATACCCGTTTCCAAAAAAATCGGTAACGAAAAATTATATACTTTATAGCACTCCCCGGGAAATTTAACCCCTACTTTATGTACAATTTTTTGAGATTCGGTTATTTGAAACCGGTTTCCAAAAAGATCGGTAACAAAAAATAGTAACACTTTATAGCACTCTCCGAGAAATTTTACCTCTGCTTCATGTATAATTCTTTGAGATTTAATCAATTTTTTCCTGAAAAATTGGAAAAATTAAAAAAAAAAACCGGTTTTCAAAAAGATCGATAACAAAAACTGTACACATCATGGCGCTCCCCGTAAAATTCTACCCCTATTTCATATACAATTCTTTAAGATTCGGTCAATAAATTCTTGAAAAATTGAAAAAATTTTGGAACTGGTTTTCAAAAAAATCGGTAACAAAAAATTATATACTTTATGGCACTCCCCGGAAAATTTTACCCCTGTTTTATATACAATTCTTTGAAATTCCGTCAATTATTTCTCGAAAAATTGAAGAAATTAGAAAAACCGGTTTCCAGAAGATCGGTAACGAAAAACTATACACCTTATAGCACTCCCTGGGAAATTATACCTCTATTTTATATGGTTTTAATACAAATTCGGTCTAATAGTTTTTAAGTTAAAAACGTTCAAACATACACCACATGTAAGAATTAAAAAAATTAAAATAATCGGCTTCCAGAAAATAGATAACGGAATAAATAACGTTTTTTTTTTAATTTTTTTAATTCTTACGGGTGGTGTATGTTTGAACGTTTTTAACTTAAAAACTATTAGACCGAATTTGTATTAAAACCATATAAAATAGGGGTAGAATTTTCCGGGGAGTGCTATAGAGTGTGTAGTTTTTCGTTATCTATTTTCTGGAAACCGATTTCTTTATTTCTTTTAATATTTAAAAAATAAAGAAGTAAAAAAATCGGTTTCCAAAAAATCGGTAACGAAAAACTATACACTCTATAGCATTCCCCGGAAAATTCTACCCCTATTTCATATACTTGTGATAAAAATTCGGTCCAAAAGTTTTTAAGTTATTAACGTTTAAACATACACCACCCGTAAGGATTTTATATAATAGTATAGATAGATATAAATATTCTCAGAATGCACACGAATACTTTTCACAAGGATGAAAAATTACCTGAATAGGCATGATCCATATGTAATTCAGGTATGTCATTAACTCATCAAAGCGACTGACATCATTGCTGAGAAGATTCGTGATCTGTCCAGTACCGGTTTGGTCTATGGACGCTCTGTTCAAACGTAATAACTGCGACAGTTTTGAAAAAAAATTATAGGTTACATATATAATATATTTAGTAAACAACATTCTTTCTGATATCGATTTCTATCCTACTTTCCTTAAATGAACGTCATGTAAATCACCATATAAATATAATTTTTTAAAGCATTAAAAATAAATGGTTTAAGTTAATTCTTTTCGACATCAAAATTAATCTCTTCACAATCAGATGGAGACTAGCTTATAGGGTAACTGGGAGGAATATACCACTCTGAACAAAAATTTGATTTTTTCCTGTTTTTCATTTTCTTTGAAGTATGTTTGCATACTGGCCTCCTTTTTCCTTCCTTTAGGGTAGACCGGGGACAAATGTAACAGGGTACAGTTGTAACATCGTGAATATTTCTTAAACTATAAAAGGTACGTGTGTGGGACTGCGAGGCGAGATCCGCTAGATAGAGCGGCATTTGTTCCTTAGTTCATTGCCGCCCCTCGCGGAACGTGCACGTGTGCAGGAGAAGAAGTTACTTTTTTCCTTCCTAAAGTAAGTTTTCTTACGTGCATAAAATCTGAAATATTTTTCTTTCTTTATGCCGAAGGTATAAGGTTTTATTTTTATATGTTTTAGTGATTATCTATGTTGATGATTTGCATAATACGATTGACTTTCATCCAGATATTTATGTAAAAAATTTACTTCGAATCATAAAATATCATTAGGGGACAATTGTAACATCAATGCCTGGGAACAGTTGTAGCGTTACAATTGTCCCCGTTACTCCGGGGACAACTTCAACTTAACCTAACCCTTTAAATATATATGATTATAAATAGTCTTTCAGTTGAGAAAACAGTATTATTTGTTTTTGTTTGCTATAATGTAGAAATACTGATATTGTCATGTAACAAATTATTTTATCATTAAAGTTGCATTTTTTATAGAAAATTCGTAAGATTGATTAATTAAACCTACTAAATAACCATTATTTTGTTTATAGATGATGTGGTACAATCGTTCCCCTCTACTGTTGCAATTGTCCCGGGGGTAGGACGGTTGTAACAGTATTCTTCATATTCTTTAAACAATAATAAATTTTTTCCTAGTTACAATAGTTACATTACTGAATTCAGCACAAGGAAATTTTGTAGTCAAATAAATTCTACATCTAAAAAGGTACAGGTCTTTTTTACGTAGATATTATATTTTAACTGTTATAAAATCTTAAACTCAAAATGTTACTTTTGTCCCCGGTCTACCCTACCTGTTATTTGTATATGATTTTAATATAATATTTTGATTGTTTACTATTAAAAAGAAAGAAAAGATACAAAAGTGTTACAAAGTGGCATGAGCGCTTTTAACCGTAGCTTTGTTAAACATAACGAGTGGCATATTCCCCTCAGTTACTTTATATAATATATGTGAAAATATTTTCCAACATTGATCAATTTTTTACGTTGATCTAAGGATTCGCGTTAAACGTTATATAAATTATTACTTAATTAGTTATGGCGAACATATAGTGCACATTTCCAGCTAGAAAAGAGGGCTCTTTCTCGCTGGAATAAACTTGGATCAACGCATGGACACGCAAATTAATCAACACTACCTTTCGGTAGAGGAGGGAACTGCAGGAGACGCGTATCCTCATGCCGATCTGTTGCGACAGCAGTAACGTATGGTGCATTATTAGAGCGGATATGATATTGCAAATGACCATGGAGCTGATGTAGAATAGCACTTCGTTCCTTTCTGTCTTGTACTTCGCGATCTGGTTTCTAGAGAAGTAGTCGATAATCCAATCCTGAAAGATCGGTACCGCAACGCGTACCACGCTGCACTGAAAGTAAAAACGTTGAAATTTAACGATTCCTACAGGCTTGTGAATTTAATGGATCTAAGAAAAAGAAAAAGCAGAGAGAGAGAGATCCCAAATTACACAAGTTTACGTGATTTTGCAGTCTGGAAAAGAAAAGTAGTTTTCTATTATAGTTTTTGTGCGCTGAAATTGATCCAAAGGCAAAAACCTCCAGTTATCACGTTCGGTTCACAAGAAAAATGGAATTTTTAAATCTTCTAAAAAAACGTGTTTTTGACCATTTTTGATGTAGCTGATGAATCTGACGTACGAAAGACTTTTAAAACGGTTCAAATTAAAGAATATTTATATTTTAATATAAGATTATAAAATTTTTCACCACTGGGACACTATCAAACCTCAGGCGCGCTTTGTGTTTAAAAGTTGGTGTACAATCGCACAATAAAGTACGACAATTGTTATTCCATTCTGGATCTCCGCAAACGCAAAACCATTGTAAATAGTTAAAATTTTAATACATAGGATTTAATACATAGGATTAAAGGTTCTTTGTAATAATTTTTTTTATTTGTTTAAGTAATTATTGTTGAAACAATGTTTGAAAATAACAAATTTTTTAACAAATTAACTTCGTAATTCAATTGTACAAAAAGATTATGTAAGATATATGTATTATGAAATTTTTACCATTTGCAATGGTTTTGCAGAGGTCCAGAATAAGGCAATCATTATATTTTTGTCATATTTTGACGATTTATTTAATAAAGTGTTGCAGTTATTAATATGATATTTTTTCTCAAAAATATTAATTTACTTGAATAAATAACCAGATTCCGATTATAAAATATGGCAACCAAAAAGCGTTGAAGATCGCCTTGTATAATTTCGGACGAGCGTTTTCCTTCAGTGGCACCTTCTGCCCGTCTTTATTCTCAGTGTATTCCAGGTTCTTCAGTTTGTCCAGTTCGTGACTCCAGTACCTGGACGAAAAAAAAGCGTTACACACTTGCGTTTGAGAGAAAAAGAGAAAAGATGAATCGTGCAAGAAGTTCAGTTAAAAAGAACAGGCCTTTTATGTGTTTCTTCGTTAACGTATGTCCGTTTGTCTTTAATGTAGGCGATACTCACTTCTCGAGATGATCGGTCAGTTTTTCAGATTCGTCCGCTTTTATTGGTCGATAAATATCAGATTCCTTTAAATCACACTTAGCGCCTTTCATAAATA